GTTTGCTGTACACCTGAAGACAGCGACACTGTGTATCAGCCACACTTCAGTTCTTTTAAGTTGCTTTTAATCTGAAAGCCACCAAAGAAAAACAACGCATTATACAAAGGGGAACAACAATTTGAGTGACTGTGTTTCTCATCAGAAATGGAGACCAGAAAGAAACAGTACATTTTTTAGGTACTGAAAGAGAAGGATTGTCAACACACAATTCCTCCAAGAAATAAGTGTAAAATAAAGGCATTATTAGATGAAAGAATCTCAAAAAATTCATTGCCAACATGTCTTTAATATTAAAGAAATGCTAAAAGTTTTTCAGATGGAATGGAAAATAATACTGGAGGGAAAATTCAAACTTCAGAAACTAAGCAAGAGCAACGAAAATGATATCCAGGTAAATATAGCTGGATATTTTTCTCCTCTTAAGTTTGAGAATATGTATGTCAGCTGAAAGTAAAATTTATAACATTGTTTGATAGGATTTTCAGTGTATGTCTGGAGAAGGGAAAGGCTCCCCACTCCAGTATTCTGGCCTGGAGAATTCCATGGACTGTATAGTCCATGGGGTCGCAAAGAATTGGACACGACTGAGCAACTTTTTCACTTTCACTTCACTTCAGTGTATGTGGTACATATGACAACCATAGAACAAAGCGGGGAAGATAAAGGATCTTATTATGATGATACGGTTTTACATGTCACTTAAAGTGGTAAAATATTAATTCTAATTAGACTGTAAAAAGTTAAGTGCACATTTTTATTGGGTTGTTCGTCTTCTCATTGAATTGAAAGATTTCTTTACATATTCCAAATAACATGTAGTTGATCCTTCAACAAAATGGGGCTTAGAGACTTCCCTGGTGGTCCAGTGATTAAGAATCCATCTGCCAATGTAGGGGACATGGGTTCGATCTCTGATCTGGAAAGATTCCACATGCTGCAGGGCAACCAAGCCCTTACACCACAGCTAGAGAAAGACCTATCATGGCCAAAAATAAAATAATTTTTTTTTAAAAGCTCATTGAAAGTTATCTATTTTTTTAAAATGGGATGTTGGGAGAGCCATCTCTCTGCACAGATGAAAGTCCACTTTTAACTTATAGTCAGACCTCCACATCTGCAGTTCCTCAGTATCCAGTTCTGTATCCATGGATCCAGCCAATTGCCCAACATGTAGTACTGCAGTACTACTGAAAAAAATCCACATATAAGTAAGTGGGCCTGTGCAATTCAAACTTGCATTGTGCAAAGATCAGCTGTGTACAGAATATATAAATTCTTCCAATTTTGTAACATGTACTTTCATTATCTTAATGGAACCTTTCAAAGAGAAAATGATTTTAATCCCAATGGTGTCCACTTATTAACTATAATAAGGGCTCTCCTACTAGCAGCAATGAGAACTCTATAAAGTATAGAAAAACAGAAGATATAGAGAATGGCAGGCAATAACACTAGGCCTAAGACAAATTAATAAGAAAGGAACGAATGTGAAGGAGTGATTTCTAGGATATCTTTAAATTCTTTAAAACTGAAAAACAAGAGTATATATAGTATACCATCTTCTGTGTAAGAAAGAAAGTAAATAAGAAAATATACATTTTTCTACTTATTTTTACAAATACCAGAAGGATAAAGTAAAAAATAATGAGCTTCCTTCAAAGGACGGATGGGAATTGGGTTGAAGTGATGGTGGGAGAGTGATATTTCTCTGTATCTTTTTGTATAATTTTGTCTTTGGAATCCATATTAATGTTTAATAAAATAAAATTAGGGGCCCTAAAATGTCATACAAACAGAAACAAATTAACATAACTATATTTCAAGTGAATAACATAACCACACTTAACTGAGGAGAAAGAACTAGCCCAAATAAGTTTTGAACACAGCATTTTGACCATAAAATTCAGGATAAAGACAAGAAGTTGTCAGCAAACACTGGAACGTAGGATTAGTGTAGTGTGTGTGCATGCATGCATGCTCAGTCATGTCCTACTCTTTGCTACCCCGTGGACTGTAGCCCACCAGGCTCCTCTGTCCATGGGATTTCCCAGGCAAGAAGACGGAGTGGGTTGCTATTTCCTCCTCCAGAGGATCTTCCTGACCCAGGGATCAAACCCACGACTCCTGTGTCTCCTGCACTGCAGGCAGATTCTTTACCACTGAGCCACCGGGGAAGCCATATTCTAGTATCGGAATTAAGCAATGGGTGCGTGTGAGAGACAAGACACAGAGACAGTGTGTTTCCTATCAACACTGTGGAAAGCAATTTGCATTATCTAGTGAAGCAGACACCCCACTCCAGTGCTCTGCCTGGAAAATCCCATGGACGGAGGAGCCTGGTAGGCTGCAGTCCATGGGGTCGCTAAGAGTCGGACATGACTGAGCGACTTCACTTTCACTTTTCACTTCAATGCTTTGGAAAAGGAAATGGCAACCCACTCCAGTGTTCTTGCCTGGAGAATCCCAGGGACGGGGGAGCCTGGTGGGCTGCCGTCTATGGGGTGGCACAGAGTCAGCCACGACTGAAGTGACTTAGCAGCAGCAGTGAAGCAGAAGATAGATGCAGCAGATTGAAGAAACATGGTCATGGTATTTAGCAGCTCTTCCCATCAAGAGACAAAGTCTATTTTCCCACTCCTTGAATCTGGGGTGTCTTTGCCAATTCCTTTGACCAAAAAAATGTAACAGCAGTGACAACAGGAGCATTCCCATGCTTAGGCTTCAAGACATTTTTCTGAATCCACCTTTATTCTCTGTGAGCTGCCATATGAGGAAGCCCAGGCTAGCCACAAGGTGAGGCCTCCTGGAAGAGAACAGGCTTTGCTGACCTGCCAACTGTGAAGCAGAGTGAGCCCAGCCACCACCATGGACAGCAGGGCCCAGCTGAATGCAGACATGTGAGTTAACCCACCCACACCCAGGAGAAGAACTTTCCAGTCCACCCACAGAATCATAAGGAAATAACAAACCACTGCTGTTTTCAGCCACTTACTTTTGGAGTGATTTGTCTCACAGTAATAGATAACTAAGATGGCTGGATGGCATCACCGAATCGATGGACATGGGTTTGGGTAGACTCCAGGAGATGGTGATGGACAGGGAGGCCTGGCGTGGTGCAATTCATGGGGTCGCAAAGAGTCAGACATGACTGAGCGACTGAACTGAACTGAACAGATAACTACACTCCAACAATTTCACTTATACACCCTTGAAAAACGTGCACACATGTAGTGCAGGAGGAAAATGTATAATGTTAAGAAATGTTTAATGTTTAGAGAAACATTGTTTCAATAGCCAAAAACTAGAAAGATTGTACAAATATCCACTAGTAGTAGCATGGGTAAATACACTGTGATATGTTCATTTACTGGAATATTATACAGCATTAAAAAGCACAGACTAGAGGAAGACACAACAATACAAATGAATCTTTCAAGCATATGTTGAATTAAAAAAGTAAAACACAAAAGAATACAAAGAAAATGTGTATGTAAATGAACAAATTAGACTACATAAATGGATACATTAAACTACTGCTTTGTGTAAATGTTCAAATTAAACTATATTGCTTAGATAAGCATACATATAAGAAAATGTAAAGAAAACAAAGTAACGATCATAAAAGTCATGATAATGGGTACCTCTAGGAAGGAGGAAAGAAGTTATAATTAGAGATACATGAAGCGCTTCCAAGGTCATTCTAGTTTTTACAATGGGTGCTACACATTTTGTTTTATGCATGTTTCTACCCCATGGACTGTAGCTAACCAGGCTCCTCTGTCCATGGAATTCTCCAAGCAAGAAGACTGGAGTGGGTAGCCATTCCTTTCTCCAGGGGGTCTTCCCAACCCAGGGATCAAACCTGGGTCTCCTGCATTGCAGGCAGATTCTTTACTATCTGAGACATGAAGGAAGTCCCTCTATATGTATGTAATGCACAATAAAATGTTTTTTAAAATACTAAAAATACCATTACACTCCCACCAGGCTGGCAAAATTTTAAAGTCTGACCAAGTTTAATCGAGTGTTGTGCAGAAAGTGAAATATACGGAATTCTCACGTATCATAAACCATGTTGAAAATCAGACAACGTATGTTAAGTCTATAGGTGTGCCAACCCTACCCAGCAATTCCATTCTTAAACATGCACGTTAGAGAACTCTTGCAGGTGTGCATCCAAATATGCCCAACCTTCTAGAAGGAAAACAGTGGCAATTTGCATGGATTAGGATTACCAGCAATAAATTCAGCTTAGGTTTGCCTCCTCTGGGAGTTCTTCTCTGAGTAGCTCAGGTGGAATGAATAGCTCTGTATTTTGTCCTCCCCATGACTTCTGCTGCTGGTTATAATGAGTTTAAGACCATATAATCAAGTTTTTAATTCCCCTCCCCTTCTTCCTCCAAATCTTAAAACTCAGTGAAGGCAAGGTCTATGGTCTGATTCACCTGTCCAATCTTCATGTTATACAGAGTACTTTCTAATTGTCTGATGAATGTTTTTGAAATTAATGCCTAAAGTATTAAAAGTGGGGATGAATTAAAGAATAAAAAGAATTTAAAAATAAAGGCTCTAGTTCTGAGAGTCCTTTTAGGGTTTAAGTATGATAGACTAACAGAAATCCCTAAATTTAGGAGCTGACAGTAAAGAATGAAGGCATTCAAGAAGTGGAGAGTTCTACAGATGACTGTGGTTCTGGATGCGATCTGGGACTAGAGTAACCTTGAATGCGTTCATATCTCTGTGGTGGTACTCTGAGGTGAAGAGTTGGCATTCTCAGAGTTTGAAGACTTCTAGGACTAGTAAAGGGCTCTAAGCAGGATAATACATGACAGGGATTCTACTGTCTCTGTTTTTCACTGTAGGGAAATGTAGAGGCTTGCAAAGAGACCTAAGATTGAGATGTGTGAATGTGGGTCTTTGTAGCAACTTTAAGGTTAGGCTCTTTGTGTTTCGTAGTTCCCTGAGGTTGGGATCCTCAACTAAGAGGTTGGCCTTACTTCGCATTGCAGCGGTGCGTGAGCTGTGTGGCCCAGAAGCCCAAGACAGAGAAGATAAAAGGTGTGACAAGCATCATGGAGACCAGGTTAACCAGAGCCACAATAATGGCATCACTGAGACAGCTGTTGGACGATTGCATGTGCGAGGCTATGGAGACAATGGCGCCAAAGCCGAGGCCCAAGGAACATAAGACTTGGCTCCCTGCTCCACACCATACGTTCGCGTTGGCTATAGTTGATATCTAAAAGGGAGAAGACGAGTGTTAAGGGAAGATGTCAAACAAGGAGGGGATAATCTTAAAAGGGTTAAAATGGGGGAGAGGAGACACAGAGAGAGATAATGGGGAAAGGATGCCTAAGAATAGGCAGGAAATGTCCTCCAAGGCCTGATGGGGAATGAGGAAGATACACCTTACCTTGACAACTGTCATATAGTGAAGGCCAAACACCGCCCCTTCCAGCATTATACTCCGCACAACAAGATAGAGCATTATGAGACCACTGGTTGATACCAAGACACACATTACCTGAATTGAGAGTGGGACAAAGCATGTACCAGTGGGAGTCAACCAATAATCAGCAAGGATCAAAAGTTCTGAATCAGAAATAAGGAAGAGTTAGAAGACAGCTTCTAGCAGGGGTCAGGAGCTACTGGGAGCAAAAAGTCAGAGGGAATGAAAAATTAGGAAATCAAAGAGTAACAAAGTTAGGTTAAGGCCAAAGCATCTAAGAACGTCAAGATATCAAAAAATGGGTGGCTCACCTTCCCAGTCCACTTGAGCCCTTTAAGCATGCAAGCACCAAGAAGACACAAGGACACGAATAAGGGCAGGGTCAGACTCAGCACTGGTGGCCCATTGTCCTCAATGCTGTCTGAGGCCTTCAGAGTCATCCGGTACCAGAAGTACAGGGAAGGCGTCGTCCGTGCACACTCAGGATCTGCAGGGACCTGGCTCTAGACAGGCCTGCTAGACAGGGTGACCCCTCCCCTCTTCTTTAGCCTCCCCCCTTCCCCCTCTTCCTTCCCCCTTCCCCCCGTTTCTTCTTCCTTCCACAATCTTCCTCTTCTTTATCACTCCTTGCTCCTTTCTCCTCTTCCAAATTTCCTCCTACCTCTCTGTTCTCCCCAATTCTCATCTTTCACGTCCTCCTCACCAAAGCCACTGGCGTTCTCCAGTAAGGGACACTTCTCCCACGGAACGGGAAACTGGAAGGACTGACTCAAGTAGAAGAGGATCCAGGCAGTGATCACATTCAAGAGCAAGCCGTTGATGAAGCACACCTAGGGGCCAGGGAGGAAGGGAGAGGCCAGGAACAAGGCGGGGATTTGACAGAGGACTGGGGAACTGAAGGGATCTGACCCATTCCAGGATGAGGGCTAGGATGGGGATGGGGTGTAAAGGGTAGGCCAGGGCAGCCCAGGGCTCCTCACCATGAAGCTTGTATACCCTACACCACCAATCCAGGGGCTGATGGCCTTCCACACACCAATGTTGCCCTGACGCATCCTCTGACCAGCTGCCATCTCCAGGAAGAGGAGAGGAATCCCGACCAAGAACAGCAAGAAGATGTAGATGATGAGAAAAATGCCTGTGCAGAGGATTCAAACAGGAGCTCTCAGAACCAGCTGGCTTTTTGGTGCCTGGACTTCTTCATGGTACAGAAAAACTCGTTCCCCACCAGTGACCTCCCTCAGAGGCACAGGCATCAGGAGTCAACTGTTTCCACATCCCTTACAATTCCAGGCGTCCAGTTCTTTGGTCTCTAATTCCTGGAAGATCCAAACATCTAGTCTTCACCACCACCCTTGATCCAGGCTTCTAGCCCCACCATCCTCCTGTTCAGGTATTCTGTACCTCTACCCCTCTTATGACCCTTCACATTCAGGCATCTGACTCCTATTCTGCTCAGAATACCAAGTCTTTATCCTCTATAGGTCCCAGAGACCTTGGGAGTTTGAAGTCTAGACAGGCCTCCATCTTGCTAGCCCCTTGTGAATCCGTGGTTCCTGGTACCCAGACTTACCACCTCCGCTGTGAAGCCACAGGTAGCAAAAACTCCAAAGACTGGACGGCCTCATGGTATAGCCCAACTGGGCCAGGAGGTACTCAGCCTTGTTGGACCAGAATGGGCGAGTAATGAGGAGTTCACTCTTCTCCTCCCCTGGCACCTGAACTTTCTCGGGTAAGAATCTCTGTCTTAGGACTGGGGCAGCCCCTGCCCCCGTGACAGGGGTTGCCTTGGGATGGCTGGCCCTGCTCTGAGCCTCAAAAGCTTGTGTCTCCCAGGCCTGAGCCCTCACGGCCCGGGCCTCAAAAGCCTGGACCTCAGAGACCCAGGCCGTCAGAGACCAGGTGCCTGTGCCCTTGTTTTCCAAAGCGTGACCTCCGGGGGAGCTTTCAACAGATGAGACTTTGCCCAATGACACTCCTGAAGCCTGGGCCTCTGTCACCATTTCAGGCAGACTTTCAGGAGCAGCTCCAACTTTCACAATGGAGGATTTGATTTTGTGAGTAGACCTGAAGGACATCAAAAACTATATTTTAGGTTTTAGAGTGAAAAGATGACTGAGTTCCAAAACAATCCTCAACACCTCCTAAGGAAACCTTCCATTTCTGTCCCTGTGTGTATATGATAAGTCACTTCAGTTATGTCCAACTCTTTGTGACCCCATGGACTGTAGCCCACCAGGATCCTCTGTCCATGGGATTCTCCAGGCAAGGATACTGGAGTGAATTGCCATGCCCTCCTCCAGGGGATCTTCCCAACTCAGGGATCAAACCCGCATCTCTTGTGTCTCCTGCATTGGTAGGTGGGTTATTTACCACTAGCACCACTGGGAAGACCCATTTCTGTCTCTACCACGACTGCAATTCAAAGCACAAAAGAATCTTTCACATAAGTTTTACTTCTTAGAAACGTTTCAGTGCAAGGGATAAAGACAAATAGCCAAGCTAATACACATAAAAAGTTTCTGAAAACTTTGAGGTATACTCCATACAGAGGATAGTACTATTTATAGTGGGCTTCTTAATCAAAGAAAGGACTTTAATATTAAATCTGCCTGGTAAACCAATCTTAGCAAAGCTGCTTTACTTCTCTGAGCTATTTCACCTGTAAAACACTCAGGTTTCTGCTCAAATATCACCTCACCAGAGACGCCTTCCCTGCCAGCCTATCTAGAATAGTAGCTACCTACCCACAACTCTCTCCATCCAACCTACTTTTATTTTTCTTCATAGCATTTCTCACCTCCCGATGTGATTATCTCTTGATGGTTTGTCTGGTCACAGTCTAACCGTGCTCCCCACCCCACTGCTCTGTCCCCAACAAGTGGATGGTGCTTTACCTCATATCTGGGGCCACTTTCCTCTCTGTCCTCTGTGCTTCCACCACTCTGACCTGTTGTTGGCTCTTCAAATGCTCTACAAGAGAACAGGCAAGGATTGTGATGGAAACAAAAAGTAAAAAAACAGGATGTGGAAGAGAGGGAACTGGAGTTTTCTTTCAGAGGAGGAAAGAGGATGCCACCCAAAAGCAGAGGCAGTGAGTAGGTGCCAAGACAGCACAGGCACATCTGGGTCACAGGGATAAATCAACTGTGAGACACATTGTTTCCAAAGAGTTCTTAAGTAGCTCAGGAAATGCTTACATTTCAATGATGGGTTAAAAAAAAACTCAGATATAAATTTCCATCTTTAGTTCTATTTCTACTACATTTTAAAAGGCAATGGAAAAAAAAAGAATTAAAAAAATGCAAAGAAAGAAAAGGCTGAAAGAAAATACATTAATATATAGAAGACAAGAGGATTATAGGTATTTTTATAGCCTTCCCTCTGATTTTAAATCAGTCTAGTAAATTGTCTAAAAGTGTTACTTGAATAATCAAGAAAAATACGTATCAATAAATAAAAATTAAAAATAAAATGATGATACTGGAGAAGTAAAATTGAAAGACCTCCCATCAGCCAAATCTTGGACAACTGGAGCATCAAGATAAATAATAACACAGAATAAAATAAGAATCTATGAATCCACAGTGATATAAATAAGGAAAATGAAAATCTCTTCCTTACAGTAAAATGCAAACTAATAAATGCATAGGAATGATGAAATTAGAAAATTATCACTTGCCATGAGTAATAATTGACTCAAGCAAGAATTTTTAATCACTGCTCACACAAGAAAGTTTGACAGGGACAAAAATAAGTGCTTAGTATTAACGTGTCTCCCCACAAGATACTCTCCTCCCCACCAAATAGAAAAATAGTATCCTTACAGTGTTAAACACTACCTTAACCACATAATGAAAGTCAATTGATACCATTTGCTCCCTGATACAGGCACTGAGAAGCACACAACATCATTTCAGTGGTATTCCTGCCAAAAATGGACGACCAGAATCTAATCATGAAGAAACATCACGAACCCAAACTGAGGGACATTCTATAACGTAGCTGACCTCTATGCATTAAAAATGTTGAAGTCAGGAAGAAAAGAAAAGACAAAAGAATTTTAAGTCCAAAATCACAACTGTAAGTCTGAAATTATGTCAAAATAAGAAATTAACACTGGAACTTGAAAAACATCTGGGTTGGACTTCTAGTGTCTGATTCTCATGTAAGAGCTTATAAGGAGGGCCTGCCACTCCATCTTAATAAGTAAAAATCTGAACAGACTGAAAAACCAGCAACTCTTGTTGGATCCCTAAGGGAAGTGAGCACAGAGGGCAAATCATTGCCCTTAACACTGGAGAGACAGATAGGCAAATACAAAGATTCACTGAATAACAATCAGAGGAAAAAAAATCCCCTTGGGTTTCCAGCAAGGGAAGGGGAAAAAAGAACCATGTTAGTGTTATCATATTTTCATAATTTAAAAATGAAGAAAAAGAACCATTTTGAACCACTCTAGAACACTCTGTTCTTAGTAATGCCTGCCCTCAAGAGAAACTAGTTAACCAGAGCCTCATCTGTTAACATCAGAGTCAAATTGACCTAGGGTAAGGAAATACCCAACTCCAGCCCACTCTAGACACCCTGTCCCACCTAAAAGGGAAGGGAAAAACAAAACCTGAGAAACATTGTAAAGTCCAGAAACAAAGGCACTAAAGGACAGATCTAGTCGCAGGTTTACTGAACAGGTAAACCTGAGGTAAACTGAGTAATCTGAGCAGGTTTCCCCTCACCCTACAGCTCACCACATTACTAAAGGCTGATTTACAGTAGTTTACCATTACATCAAGTTCAGGCTATCAAGGAAAAAATTAAAAGGCATACCAAAAGGTAAAAAAACACAACTTGAAGAGAGAACAGGGATTAGAACCAGACATGGTTGAGATGTTGAAATCATCAGACCAGGGATTTAAAATAACTATGGTTAATATGTTAAGGGCTCTAATAGATTAAGTAGACAGCATGCAAGAACAGATGGGCAATTTGAGCAGAAAGATGGAAATCCTAAGAAAGAACCAAAAAGGACTGACAGAGATTTTAAAAAATACTGTAACAGAAATGAAAAATATTTTTGATGGGTTTATTTGTAGACCAAACATGGCTGAGAAAATAATCACTGAACTTGAGAATATCTCGAATAGAAGCCTCCAAATCTGAAAAGCAAAGAGAACAAAGACTGAAAATCAGCAGGCAGAAAATTAGTAAAGATATATTCAAACTCAACAACACCATCAATCAAAAGGATATAATTGGCATTTACAGATTACTTCATCCAGTAACAGCAGAATACACATTTTTCTCAAGTTCATTCACCACAACAGACCACATTCTGAGCCATAAAACACCTTAACAAATTTCAGATTTGTTATTTGAAGTCACACAATGTCTGCTTACAGTCAACAATCAAATTAAACTAGAACTAGATGAAATAGACTGATTCCTTGAAAGACACAGTCTTCCAAAACTCATACAAGAAGAAACAATCTAAATAGGTCTGTCTCTATTAAAGAAGTTGAACAAATAATAACCTTCCAAAACAGAAAGCACAAGACCCCAGTGGGTTCACTAATGAATTCTATCAACAATTTAGGGAGTGCTCGCTTCGGTAGCACATATACTAAAATTGGAACAATTTAGGGAAGAAATTATACTGATTTTCTACAATCTCTTGGAGGATAGAAGCAGAGGGAGTAATTCTATGAGACCAGCATTACCTAGATACCAAAACACAGATATTACAGAAAAAGAAAACTAATATCTCTCATAAACATAGATGCAAAAATCCTAACAAAATATCAGCAAATACAACCCAACAATGTACAAAAAGAATTATACCTCATGACCAAATAGGACTTATTCCATGTATCCAAGCCTGAATGAATACAACATTCAAAAAGCAATTAATGCAACAACAGGCCCATGAAAAGATGCTCAACATCATTAATTATTAGAGAAATGCAAACCAAAACTGTAATGAGGTACCACTTCATACCAGTCAGAATGGCTATCATTAAAAAATCTACAAATAACAAATGCTGGAGAGGGTGTAGAAAAAAGGGTCTTTACCCCTCTACACTGTTGGTGGTAATGTAAATTGGTGCAGTCACTATGAAAAACAGTATGGAGGCTTCTCAAAAAACTAAAAATAAAGTAGCCATATGATCCAGCAATCTTGCTCCTGGGCATATATCCAGACAAAACTGTAACTCAAAGAGACACATGCACTCCAATGTCCATAGCAGCACTACTTACAATAGCCAAGACATGGAAGCAATATAAATGTCCATCGACAGATAAAAGCATAAAGAAGATGTGGTATAAATACACAGTGGAATACTACTCAGCCATAAAAAAGAATGAAATAATGTCATTTAATGGGTGGACCTAGAGATTATCATGTGTGCTTAGTCGTTCAGTCGTGTCCGACTCTGCGACACCATGGACTGCAGCCCACCAGGCTCCTCTGTCCATGGGATTCTCCAGGCAAGAATACTAGAGTGTGTTGCCATGCCCTCCTCCAGGGGATCTTCCCAACCCAGGGATCAAACCCAGGTCTTCCACACTGCAGGCAGATTCTTTACCATCTGAGCCACGAGGGAAGCCCAAGAATACTGTCCTTAAAGGAGAGAAAAGAATGAAAATAGGTCAGAAAAATATATTTGAAGAAATAATGACAGGAAACCTCCCAAATTTGGTGAAAGAGATAGATTTTTATTTAAAGAAGCTTAAAGAGTGCCACACAGGATAAACACAAAGAGAAAAATGTCTAATATGAGTACAGTCAATCTGCTGGAAATCAAAGATAAAGAGAAAAGTTTTGAAAGTAGCCAGAGAAAAAGAACACATTACATACAAGGGAACAATACTAAATACTATGTACTTCTTATCAATTCCAAAGGGAATTGAACAATATCTTCAAAGCACAGATAAAGGGGAAAAGACTGCCTATCAGAATTCTATCATCAATAAAAATATCCTTCAAAAAAAAAAACAAAGAAGCCGCAGACTTCCCTGATGGTCCAGTGGTTAAGAATGGACCTGCCAATGAAGGGGTCATAGGTTCGATCCCTGGTCTGGGAAAATCCCACATGCTGCAGGGCAACTAAGCCTGTGGGCCACGACTACTGAAGCCCGTACATCCTAGACTACTCCGCAACAAGGGAAGCCACCACAATGAGGAGCCTGTGAACAGCAACTGCAGAGCAGCCGCAGCTCAGGGCAACCAGAGAAAGACCACGTGCAGCAGCAAAGACCCAGCACAGCCAGAATAAATAAATAATTAATTTAAAAAATAGATTTAAAAAAATTTTTTTAAGTTTGTTCTTTAAAAAGGAGACAAAACAAAAACATATTCAAATAAAGAGAGATTCGGAGAATTCATCACAGCAGACCCACAAAACAAAAGATGATGAAATCAGTTCTAAGAATGAAGGTAACAATATCAGAGGGAAATTCAGATCTTCAAGAACAAATAAAGAATGTTGGAGATAGTATATATGTGGGAAATAGTAAAACTATATTTTCCCCTTACTTTCTTTAAAATACATGTGAATTTTTAAAACAAAACTTATGTGTGAATTTTTAAAGCAAAATTATAATGTTTAAAAACAAAAATCATAATTGTACCAATCATAAAAAAAAGAACAAAATAATGCCATCTGCAGCAACATGGATGGACCTGGAGAGTGAGTACTTCATACTGAGTGAAGTAACTTAGACAGAGAAAAACAAATATCATATGGTATCTCTTATATTTGGAATCTAAAAAATGGTACAAATGAACTTATTTACAAAACAGAAATAGTATCATAGATATAGAAAACAAACTTATGGTTACCAATGGGGGGAAGGGAGAGACAGATGAATTGGGAGATTAGGACTGATGTATACACACTACTATATATAAAATATATAATTAATAAGGACCTCATGTACAGCACAGGGAACTTTACTTAATACTCTGTAATGAT